TGCTGTAGCACTGCTGCTGCTTGTCTGTCGTGACTCACGTTAAAGACTCCATCTTCTCTGTGTGGCCTATGCTCAACTGCTTTGTTTAGCACAACTAAGTCTGTGGCATCCACTCCGCTCATCAGTGCATGCAAAACACTACATTCCCACACACCAGCAAGTTAGGAACTTGACTCTGCAAAACTATGCAAACCCAAAGGAACATTAGAGACAGCTCAACACTCCCTCTAAGTACCAAGCAGTACTGGCTTCCTTAATTGATGCAAGCTAATCACTACTTCCCCCCAACCCCTGCAGAACAGCAAGCATTAAACTCCAATGTTTTACTATTCTCCCCTCAACACAGCATCAGGAGGGAAAGAATCACAGAATCATTAAGGTTGGAAGAGACTTTTAAGATCATCAAGTCCAACCATCAACCCAACACCACCATGCCCACTAAACCATGTCCTGAAGTGAACAGTTTACCCAGAGCACCTTCTTCACTGAGGAAGGCAAAACACAATCATGGAAACACCAGCAGAATGCTTCCCAGAGAGGGAGATGGTGGTTAAAAGCATTCACTGTGCAGGGAGGGAATTAGTATGGGAACCCTCAGCATTTTTCACTGGGAAAGGTGGTGGAACTGAATGCAGCTCATCTGGATCAACACAGAGCTGTTTACCAGCCCAGAGTTTATTTAAACTTACTTTTGGGAGGGGGTATACCCTCCCAAACTCAGATACCAGGGTATCTGAATACTTCCTTCTAAGAGAGGAATAATCCATGAAAAGCAGAGTGAGTGCTCCCCTACTGTGAACAGAGACCCTCCTTTTTGCACCCAGTCAGGACAATTTTCTAACTCAAAGCACTTCAAAAGGAGACCAACATACCTCACTGCCTGCCCTACTCACATCATCACTCTAAAGGGTCAGAGTACTCCACGAATGCTCAACAGAAAGAGCTGACTAACCAGAACTCTGCGTACTGTCCCAAGGTTCATCCCCAAAATAATTTGCTTAAAGCAACATCACACTCCATGCAGCATCTTGTGTGTGCTTAGTGCAGGAAGCATCAACCAGCGGGAGGTACGTACGGCAGGTGTAAACATCTCTGTACTCCATGTGCTCGTAGTCGGGAAGGATTTTCATAAAACGCCCCGACTTCACTCGTGGGTTTATACCTGAACAGACACAGCAGGGTAAGTACCAGAAAACGCTGCTCCACTGTAACAGTATGATGAATCTGGAACAACCACACAGGAAAAGTCAAACTCTCTCTTGACTTCAGTTCCAGTTGTGGTGCACCATTTGTTTCCATCGGCCCCAGTCTCAGGTACTCTCAATTAGCAGGATTACTCACACAGAACTTGGCATGTTCAAGATTCCCAGCAGACAATATTTACAAACTGCATCCAGTGAATTCAAAGTGGAATCTGGGTCCCGCTCAAGCTTTGTAGTGCAATTGTAATGAGCACTACGGTTTCAGTAAGACCACGCAGGCCAAGCAACTACATGGAGGGTAGCACAGGCCTTGGACTAGTTATGCTTTCTAGGACTTAAGTTCAGTTCCCCACTTCTCACACTACTTCTTAAGAAGCACATACAGTGGACAGAAAAGTGCATGTGAGTCCTGCCAGTAGCCCCAAATTAACTCTTCTGAAATTAAAGAAGTTAATTCTTGGGACAGTAGAGAAAATCGGGTCACACCACTGGGAAACTGTTCCACTAAGTGTCTGAAACAGGGCAAACTGCTGAATCTGAGCAGGACAGCCAAGATGGTGCATCCCTGAAAGCAGAAACAGCCACCAAACATTCTGACTTTAGAGTAACCACTGCTAGTTAGGCTTGCTCAATGTATATGGGCACAGTCCTTACTCCGAAATGCAATAAAGTCTATCACAGAGGTGGTTCTCACATGCCAAGTGCGACTCTGCCAATGGATGCTATGGATTCAGAAACTACTTTCGTGCAAAGGAAGACTGGAAACATATGTGTAAAACAGGTCTATTGAGGGCTATTGAACCAACAAATTGCATCAGACTCTGGAAATCCCCCAGACTGAAAACAGTCAGAAGCTGGGAGAGTACTTAGGAAAGTATTGCAAAGTATTGGGCTAGAGAGAGACCACTCTTCTGAGCCAGTGAGGCCATTTTTACATACAACTTGTGTATAAAAAAGCACTAAATATCACTTTAATACGTCTGAACCACAGAACTATTGTAGTGGAAAAGACTACAGGTCACAAAGAGATATTCTGCCATTTAAGACTGGCAATGCAGAATTACGATCTGATATGGTATGTGCTGTGAGGCTGTCATCACACCAGTGTCCTACAGAGATACTGGACTGAATGGGAAAGGAGGCCTGAAGTGCTAACAAGATTTCTCTGTGGACATCTAAGTGCTGGCTCAGAATCACTCAGCCCTCCCACCCAGGAAAATTAGACAGTTCCACTCCTAGTGCACAAATAGGTAAAGAGGGACACTAGGTGATGAAATAATTTGCCTGTGGATGCTCAGAAGTCTATTACAGATGGGATTAAAACCCTTCTACCTGTTCTTTTTTCCAGCATTAAGATCAATGCTTGAGGTCATCACTGCTTCAAGGTTCAGCAAATACATGTAGAAGCTAAGCCAGATTTTGGATCTGCAAAGCCTACAGAAGCCTCTCATAGCTGTAACTTGGGACAATTACAGCTTTTATTTCATAAAGCAGGACCTTATTTGAACAGCCAGAAGACATAGTTCATGTGCTGCAGGTTAGGTCTTGTTCTTTATCCTATGGATCACAAGTAACAAAAATTTGTGGTGGGGAACCAAGACAACACAGCCTGGCAGTGCTGGTATGGGAGCTCTTGGGAGCTTCACAAGGCTCTATGAGCAAGAAGCTCAGCTTCTGACCGCAAAGGGCAAGATTTGGTGATGGGGAGACAGCCTCACCATGCAGCCAGGCCTCCATTCAGTCCTTAGCCCACCTTGGTTTCTCTCTGTTGATCACACCCCCTCCCTACTCTAATTCAGAAGATGTGCATCGACCTTGCAGAAGGCACAGTGGGTCTAAGGAATTGGGGTCCCACTCCCACAGATGTTCCTAAAACACACCGACACCTCAGCAGAGGCCCAGCCCTGCCAGGCTCTCCTCCTGCAGGAACAGCCCAGAGGAACACTTATCCCTTTACCTACAGCACTTTCCCACGGTCAGTGTACAACAGCATCCTTTCACTGAGATGGAGACTTAGCTACACTAGGGCATAGGAAACCTCCAGCTATGAAAAATATCAGTTAATTCCTTAGCAAGATCTAAAAATGGCAAACCAGGAAAGATGAAAAACTCTCAGTACACTTTATTATAAATTTAAAATACATGCTCTTTTCCTACTAACAGATTGGGGGACACAGACATCCCAATTCTTGGCATCTGCTTAGTATTAAATAAACCCCCCAAAATGTCAACTTCACAGATGAAACCCCTGCCACTAGAAAGTAAGTCTGAATAACTTATACTGTCAACATTTAATAAATATTCAACATGTATATGCTTTCAAGTTGTTACGAAGCAAGGACATACAGATCTATATCAGCTTTATCACTTACGCTTGGCATAAACATCTCGACAGGACACTCCTGTGATCTCCAATTTCCGCAAGTTTTCACAGACGCCATATTCTGCAATGACACAGATAATAAATGTCAAATCTGGCACAAAGGTGTTTGCTACCCATGATCTTGATATCTACTGTTTGAGCAAAAATGAAACATTAGGTGCGTTCTTGGGAGCTGCCACATTAATCTGAGAATCTTATTGCTGCTTTGAAGAGAAAACAGAAAACTAGATGTAATTATATTACAGTTTGGGAATCTAACAGATTTTACAAGCAATGCCTGCAACAAACACACCATAAGGAACACACAAACACAGCAAAGTTACAGATGCTTACACCTA